TGGGCAGTGTTTTGTTCTGCTGTGCATAAGGTCGCTATGAGTTGGTACCAACTCAATGGCACTTAACAACAACAACAACAATGTAACTAGCTGTTGAAAAGACTATGGGCCCATGGGAACTTTTAAACATTGCTGGTGAGTAGAAATTGGTAATACCCCTTTGAAAAGCAATTTTAATTTATTGTGTAATTGAAAACAACATGATCTAGTAGTAGTACTCTTAAGTACCCGCATACTCTAGGACTGTTCCTCTCAGAGTTCATTGTGTATATATATCTTGTTAAAGTGCCGATTCTGCTTCAGTAGGTCTGGGGTGGAGTCTGAAATGATGCAGTTTCAGAATGCTTCCAGGTGATGCTCATGCTGCTGGTCTGGTTACTGTAGTGAGTTCAAAAGGATGATCAAAGAAAATGATATAAACATGAGATGGCAGTATTGCACAACAATTTTTTTTCCCTCCCCTTTAGCATAGATATCTTTTCTTAAGCTTTTACAATAATGGTCTTATGCAATATTTGTCCTTTTGTGAACAATCAAATATATTAACATTATTTCCTCTCCTTTTCCCCTTTAGCCTATGTCTCGATCCCTCTGTCATAGAGCCTTGTTATTCCAAGGCTGTACAAATGTCACAGTCTACCTCTATTCCATTTAGCCCATGGATTCCTCTCAGAGTCTTTCCCCATCTTCCTCACTCCTCTCCCCTGCTTATGTATTACCCCTCCCCTCCTATTCACTGCCCTCCCTGTTCCCACCATCAACATGTCCATCCCCTGACCTGTGAGTTACTGTCCCCTCCCCCTTCCACCCCTGGTAACCCTCAATGAACTATTCTTTTATTTTGGAAATATTTTCTTAAGTTTTTACATTAATGGACTTATACACTATCTGTCCTTTTGCGCCTGACTAATTTCACTCAGTATTGTGCCCTCAAAGTTCATCCATGTTATGTGGTGTTTTGTAGTTTCCTTGGTATTCTTCAAGGTAGCATAGTATTCCATTGTGTGTATGCACCAGAGTTTGCTTATCCAGTCTTCCATTGGTGGGCATTTGAGTAGTCTCCAGTTCTTGCTATTGCAATAGTGCTGCAGTGAACATTAGTGTGCATATATCTGCTCTCATTCTGACTGGCATTTCTTGTGGGTATATACCAAGTAGAGAAATTGCTGGATCATAAGGTATTTCTTTGAGCAAATTATTGAATGATGCAGAAAGCGTCAAAAGAAGATGGAAGAAATACAACAGAGTCACTGTACCAAAAGGAAATGGTTGCTGTTCAACTTTTTTTAAGAGGTAGCATATGATCAAGAGCCAATGATACTAAAAGAGGAAGTCCAAGGTGCATTGAAGGAACTGGCAAAGAACAAGGCATCAGGAATTGATGGAATAAAAATTTAAATATTTCAAGAAAGTGAGGTGGCACAGGAGGCACTCACTCATCTCTGCCAAGTAATTTGTAAGACAACTA